GTACACGGCGCTCACATATCATAAATGGTTACAACAGTTCCAAAACTTAAGGGGATTTCCCCCACACAAGATTAGACAAGTCACTTACCTCGAATCACGCTCAATCAATCAATTAGTATGCCCTTTCCTTGATTTTCCGACTCCGATCAGCTCGAATTTGGTCACAAATAATTTGATTCAATCAATACAAATTATAGGAATTAATTCCATCTGAAAATACAGATTTTCAACAAAAACTCGAAATTTAACTCAAAAATCGCCCGTGGGACCCATATCTCGGAACCCGACAAAAGTTATAAAATATGAACTCCCATTCAATCATGAGTCCAGCCATACCAAATTTACCAAATTCCGACATCAACTCGACCTCCAAATCTCAAATTCTTATTTTGAAATCCCTAGGCCCAAATCCTCTAATTTCACCTCAAAAATATGTAATCTAGTCGAAATATTCAATGATAATCCAATATTATTGACTAACAATGATCAAAAGTGACTTACCTCAAGTTTTCCCATGAATTCTCTCTAAAAATCGCACCAAAACCGTGTTGGAAATTCCCAAGAATGACAAAAACTCAGAACCCTCTGTTTTTGTATACTGCCCAGAGGTTTCGCTTCTGCAGAATCTTTAACCGCATCTGCGGTTCTACTTTTGCGGTAAATATCCCGCTCCTGCGACAGCCTTCGCTTCTGCGGACAAGGAGTCCGCTTCTGCGGTCCAAGGCCCCCTTGGCCCAGGCCGCATCTGCGACCATTGCGTCGTTTCTGCAGTCATGCTTCTGCGACGCCTCATCCGCTTCTGCGATGCCTCATCCGCTTCTGCGATGCCAGGCTCGCTTCTGCGAGCTCGCACCTGCGAGCCAAATTTCGCAGGTGCGATTGCATCAGTAGGCAACAACAAGTTTCAATTGTTCTAAGTCCAAATTTGATCCGTTAACCATCCGAAACTCATCCGAGGCCCCCGAGATCTCAATCAAATATACCAACAAGTCCTAAAACATCATACAAATTTAGTTAAAACCTTAAATCACATCAAAAAATGCTAAAACCACGAATCATGCTCCAATTCAAGATTAATGAAACTTAGAAATTCCAACTTTTATATTCGATACCGAAACCTATCAAATCAAGTCCGATTGACCTCAAATTTTGCACACAAGTCATAAATGACATAACGAACCTATGAAAATTTTCAGAACTGGATTCCGACCCGATATCAAAAAGTCAACTCCCCGGTCAAACTTCCAAGCTTAAATTTCTATTTTCGCCATTTCAAGCCTAATTTAACTACGGACTTCCAAATAATATTTCGGACACGCTCCTAAGTCCAAAATCATCATACAGAGCTATTGGAATCATCAAAACTCTATTCCGGGGTCGTTTGCACATAAGTCAACATCCGAACAATAATTTTCAACTTTAGTTTTCATCCTTGAGACTAAGTATCTCAATTCATTTCGAATCTTCACCAGAACCGAACTGACTACCCCAACAAGTTACATAATAGCTATAAAGTACATAATGAGCAGTAAATAGGGGAACGGGGCTACAACTCACAAAACGAATAGACGGGTCGTTACAATTAGATACAAGAATCTTAATATTTATAACTTAGGAATTGTTCGAGTTTGTCTTCTTAGTGGTAGTAAACAGTTGTATATAAACCTTAGTTCTCTGTATGATTCGACTTCGGACTTTTAGACTGGATTATATTTACAGCGACCGCTTATTGATAGTAGGATATAATTATGTAGTTTAGCTACTATTTGCACTCTAACTTAGCTTCTCTTTATTGATATTTGAATGTTAAATGATAACAAATTGCTCTAATTAAGAACTTTATACTTTGCAGGAGCAATTCCGGGCTATGAGAACGTTAAAGAGTGTTTTGGATCTAATATGGAGCATTGAAGGCCAATTGGAGGTTAGCGCACTTAAAAAGAAGAAAGAAAAAAAATGCAGCAGAAAATCCTCCAGGTGCGAGGTCTATGCGCGACTGCTCACTGGGTCGCACATGTCAGGCAGAAACTGGCCAAAGTGCGCGATCGATGCGCGGCCGAGCACATGCTTCCGAGAAAAATTGTCCAAAGCCAATTTTGCAATTTGAGAGGCGACTAACCTTGACCTATATGAAGCCCAGCTCGCCCAAAAAGAGGGTATCTCTGTTTTTAGAAGAACTTTGGAGGCAAGAACACAAAAGGAGCAAGACGTAGAATTCTCCTATGAGTTTTTCATCTTCTTCTTCTTAATTCCATTGTTGGTTATGACTTTTTATATTGTAATCGTACATAGTAGTATAAGTAGCTAAACCCGTCATCTAGGGTTGATGGAACTAATTATTGGATGAAGTCTTGATTGCATTTTGATATAATTGAGCCGTTTTTACTCTATAATTGTTCAACTATGTGTTTCTTGTGATTAATTGAAAGAGCCCTTGATTAATCGTGTCTAGTTGTCTAGTGTTGCTTGAGAAAGAATACTTGATTGGATTGTTGTTGAACAATGCCACTTTCGAGTAAGTTAGGAGATTAATTACATGAATTTAAAAGCGGGATTAGAGATAATGAAGCTTTGGTGTGATATTTGTGAATTGAACAAATTGTCAACTAGAGTAGTTCGAGAGAATGATTCTAGTAAATTATCGTAATTGATCGAGAGATAAGTACGGTAAGCAAGAACTCTTCTTCTTTATAGAGTGTTACGGTGAGATTATAGCTAACGTGTCAGAAATTAATCTGATAATTGGAGAAATCAATATCTTTTACCCTTGAATTCAACTTCATTCTTGCTTATTGATAGTTTTTATTGTCATTTTTCCTTAGTTAAATAATTTCTGTTAATTATCAAATAAAATCTTGAACTCTGAAAATTGTCTGAGCTTATCATTAGCGATACTAAAAGTTGTAGCAAATAGGTTAGTTCCCTGTGGGATTCGACTCTGGACTCTTGAACTGGATTATTTTTGCAGCGACCACTTAGTCCTTTTTATAAGGCATAGTTGGGCGTGACCAAATTTTGGCGCCGTTTCCGGTGAACTAACGGTGTTATTTATTACAACTTGGAAGAATTGCTAGGATTTTTAGTTTAGATCAATTTTCTGTGGTGTTAAAAATATTTCCATTGAAATTCTCACGTTTGAACTCTTCTGTGACTCAGGTGCATGCCTAGAAGCTCCTTGAGAACTGGTGAACTTTTTGAAGATCCCGAGAAAGCATTCAGGTCATTGAATCGGGCTAACAAGAAGGGCGAACAGATAAAACAAGACGAACAATTAGAAATTGAAATGGACGACGTCGAGAACGTCAACAAGAACAATAAGAATGATCGAGTCGACCCAAATATCGGAGTGGTATCACCTCTTGTGCTGGAAGCTGCTCTATATGATTGGGTGTAACCAACTGCTGATAACCTGGCGACCGCAATTGCAGCCCTTCCCATACAAGCAGAGACATTTTAAATTACCAACAACATGCTGCACTTGTTGCATAATAAAGGGTTGTTCTATGGTTCGTACATCGAAGACCCACAACAACATCTGATGACCTTTCTATCAATTTGTGTCACTCAAAGACAACCAAATGTGACTCCTGAAGCAATCAGATTATTACTGTTCACATTCTCAGTGACTGGGGAGGCTCAAACTTGGCTGAATTCGCTCCCAATAAACTCCATTGCTACTTGGGAGGAACTACTCAAGCAGTTCTTAAACAAGTTCTATCCACCCAACAAAACTGCGAGGCAAATTGATGAGATATTGCAATTTAGGCAGAAACCGACTTAAACTTTACAGGAAACCTGAGAGAGGTTTAAGGGTATGCTAGTGAAGTGTCCACACCATGGCATTCCAGATCAGATGCTAGGACAAATATTCTATATGGGTTTGGTTGACGGTCTGAAGGCCAACGTAGATGCTTTAGCCGGGGGTGCATTCTTGAGCAAAACATTCACAGAGTGCAAGATTCTTCTTGACAAGATGGCTCAAAATTCAGGCTGGATGACAAGAGATAAAACACTCACTCCAATAGTGCATTCTATTGCTCTTGACCGAAATAATACAAATGCAGAAAACCTAGCCACTCTCATGACCCAGATGAGCTTGTCGACAAAGAAAATTGATGAGATGGGTACGAAACAGGTGCACATTGTTGATACGACAAATGGAGGCATATGCACTCCCTGTATAAATCAGTCATATGTTTGCTCGTGGAGTGGAGAGAATGATAACCAGGGCTTCAGAGAAGACATGAATTACGTCAATAATTTTGGGGGTCAGAGGCAAGGTGGACATAAATGGGGACCTCAAAATCAGCAGTACAGACCAACCCAACAACAATACAATACCATTCCAGGGGAAGCACGACCACAAGGCCAAGTCGTGCCTTATCAAAGGCAGCAAGGCTACAATCAGCAGCACCAACAATAGTTGGCTTACCAACCGCCTCATCAACCGCAGGACAATAATATGATAGAAATCAAGGGCATGCTGCAACAACTCATGGGGACAAATGGAAATATGCAAGAAAAGTTATCCATACATGATTCGGCTATTAAAGGCATTGAAACTCAATTAGGCCAGTAATCTATGGCCTTGAACAATCGCCCACAAGGAATGTTTCCTGCAGACACAAACATCAATCCAAATGAGCAGAACCCAAATTAGCTAATGGCAGTGAGTCTCAGGAATGGAAGGGATTTAGACAGAGAGCAAAAAGTTGTTCAATCTAGGAGAGACACAGTGCCAAGTACTCCATTGACATTAGAGACCGACGAGTCAACAGAGCTCACAAAAGTTGTAATTGAACAGGCACCAGTGGACAAAGCAAGGAGAAGGAATTTGAACAACTCCCAGAACAGGTTGTGCAAATATAGAAAAGACACCAAGCAGTGGGCAGAAGCTAACTCCCGCACCATTCCCTCAAAGGTTGGCAAAGCAAAATAAAGATGATCAATACAGGAAATTCATGGAAATGCTTAGACAAATTCAATTGAATATTCTGCTGATGGATGCTTTGAGGGAAATTCCAGGCTATGCAAAAATGATGAAGGATCTGATGTCTCGAAAATTTAACTTCCAGGACCTGTCTACTATAACTCTAACTCAAACTTGCAGCGCGGTAGTGACAAGACCTATGGCTCAAAAATTGTCTGATCCTGGTAGTTTCACTATCCCATGCATAATTGGAAGTTATGCTTTTGCTAAAGCATTGTGTGACTTAGGAGCCAACATCAACTTGATGCCTTTGGCAATCTACACAAAATTAGGCATTGGCAGAGCTAGACCGACCTTAATGTTGTTGCAACTGGCTGATCGCACAGTCAAAAGGCCGACAGGAATTCTGGATGATGTGCTCATCCAAGTAGGGAAGTTTGTATTTCCTGCCGACTTCGTTATTCTTGATTGTCAAGTTGACGAAGAAATACCAATAATTTTGGGGAGGCCGTTCTTAGCCACTGGGAGAGCATTGATCGACTGTGAGACTGGAGAGTTAAAATTGAGGTTGAATAATGAGGAAATAATATTCAATGTTCAACAATCTATGAGGAGGCCCAACGAATTTGCAAATTGTTAACTAGTAGAGGCGATGGATGTAATACTACAAGAGGAGGATGAGACCCTTAATGTAGGAGATCCATTAGAAGCTTGCTTGATGAATTTGGAAGAAGTGGATGGTGAAGAGTTGGCAGAGTGGGTCATGGCTCTCGAAGGTCAAGGGTTCTGGAAAAGGGAACCCCAGTTCGAGCCACTACACTTAGAAGAAAGGGCAACACCACCTGCGAAGCCATCAATAGAGGAGCCACCACAGTTGGACCTGAAACCGCTTCCAGCTCACCTCAAGTATGCTTTCTTAGGGCCTAACTCTACTTTACCTGTTATTATCTCATCTGGTTTGTTAGCTGTGCAGGTAGAACAACTCCTACAGGTGTTACAAGAATATAAGACTGCTATTGGTTGGACCAAGGCAGATATAAAGGGTATCAGCCCGGCCTTTTGCATGCCCAAGATTATCTTGGAAGAAGGGGACAAACCTTCCAGAGAACATCAAAGAAGGCTGAACCCGAACATGAAAGAAGTGGTGAAGAAAGAAGTGATTAAGTGGTTAGATGCGGGTATGATCTTCCCCATCTCTAACAATAACTAGGTCATCCCAGTTCAGTGTGTGCCAAAGAAGGGTGGAATGACGGTCGTGCAAAATGAGAATAACGAGTTGATCTCGACTCGTACAGTCACGGGTTGGAATTTTCATGGATTATAGAAAACTGAACACAACCATCCGGAAAGACCATTTCCCCTTGCCATTCATTGACCAAATGTTGGATAGGTTGGCTGGGCGATCTCACTTCTGCTTTTTCGATGGATATTCGGGGTACAATCAGATCTCAATAGCCCCTGAAGATAGAGAGAAAACATCCTTTACTTGTCCGTATGGCATCTTTGCCTATCGCAGAATGCCGTTTGGCCTGTGCAATGCACCAGCTACATTTCAGAGGTGTATGTTAGCCATTTTCACTGATATGGTGGAGGATATTATAGAAGTCTTTATGGATGATTTCTCAGTGGTGGGGGATTCATTCGAAGACTGTCTTCACAATTTAAAAAGAGTGTTAAAAAGGTGTTTGGAGACAAATTTAGTGCTGAACTGGGAGAAGTGCCATTTTATGGTACAAGAAGGTATATTGTTGGGGCATCGAGTGTCCGGTAAAGGTATTGAGGTCGACCATGCTAAGGTTGACATGATTGAGAAGTTTCCACCGCCCACTTCGGTCAAGGCAGTGAGAAGTTTCCTTGGGTATGCCGAGTTCTACAGGCGATTTATAAAAGATTTCTCTTAAATTTCTAACCCCTTATGTAAACTCCTTGAAAAGTATCATCCCTTTGTGTTCTCTGATGATTGCCGGTTGGCATTTGAGGAGCTAAAGAAGAGACTGGTGACTGCACCAATCATCGTTGCATCCAACTAGGAGCAACCGTTCGAGCTCATATGTGACGCGAGTGACTATGCTATAGGAGCAGTCCTGGGGCAGCGAAAGGACAAACTGGTGCACCCAATTTACTATGCAAGAAGAACAGTAAGCGGTGCACAAATCAATTATACCGTGACTGAGAAAGAGATGTTGGCTGTGGTGTTTGCATTCAACAAATTCAAGTTCTACTTGATTGGTTCAAAAGTGATTGTTTATACTGACCATACAACACTTAGGTACTTGATAGCAAAGAAGGAATCAAAGCCATGCTTGATCCGTTGGGTTCTTTTACTACAAGAATTCGATTTAGAGATCCGCGATAGGAAAGGGACAGATAACCAAGTGGAAGACCACCTTTCAAGGTTGGATGGAGCTGAAAAGAAAGTAGAGGTTGAAGATATAACTGAGACATTCCCGGACTAACAATTACTAGCAGTGGCAATGGAGGAGACGCCATGGTATGCTGATATTGCTAATTATTTGGCAAGCGGTATTGTACCTTACGAACTCTCTTCGACTCAAAAGAAAAAGTTCTTTCGCGATTGTCGGTCTTATTACTGGGATGAACCATTACTCTTTAAAATATGTGTAGATAACATGATCCGGAGGTGTATCCCCGAGAAAGATCAATCTTCTGTTTTGCAGGCTTGCCACGCTTTACCATATGGTGGGCACTTTGGAGGAATTCAGACAGCGGCGAAGGTGTTGGAGTCAGGTTTATATTGGCCGACTTTATTCAAGGATGCCCATGCTTGGGTAAAAAGTTGTGATGAGTGCCAAAGGACATGCAGCATATCTCGCCGTCACGAGATGCCGATGACTACAATTCAAGAGGTGGAAGTATTTGACATGTGGGGGATTGATTTTATGGGACCATTTGTCAGTTCGTATGGCAACAAGTACATATTGGTAGCAGTTGACTAGGTCTCCAAATGGGTTGAAGCTATGGCCCTTCCAACAAATGATGCCAAAGGAGTGACATGCTTTCTAAAGAAAAATATTTTCATACGTTTTGGCACTCCGAGAGCTATAATCAGTGATGGTGGAACCTATTTTTGCAATAGAGCGTTTTTAAGGCTATTAGAAAAGTATGGAGTTCGCCATAAGGTTGCCACACCTTACCACCCACAAACAAGCGGGCAAATGGAAATGTCCAACAGGGAAATCAAAAGTGTCCTGACCAAAATAGTGAATGCGACAAGGACTGATTGGGCAAAGAAGTTGGATGATGCATTATGGGCGTACCGCACAACATTTAAAACTCCAATTGGTATGTCTCCATACAAGTTGGTGTTTGGAAAAGCATGCCATTTTTCGGTGGAGCTTGAGCATAAAGCCTTATGGGCACTACGGCAGTTGAACTTGGATATGGAAACTGTAGGCACAAGTAGAGTCAGAGAGCTACATGAACTCGAGAAATTCCGGTTCCATGCATTCGAGAATGCAAGATTGTACAAAGAAAGGATGAAGATGATGCATGATAAGCACATTCTAGATCGGAACTTCAAACCCGGAGATCTAGTGTTGTTATACAACTCGAGATTAAGATTGTTTTCGAGTAAGCTAAAATCTAGATGGTCAGGACCATTTAGAGTTGTGCAAGTGTACTCAAGTGGAGCAGTAGAAATTGAGTCCGAAGATGGAACGAATAGGTTTAAAGTGAATGGGCAAAGGTTGAAACACTACCTTGGAATGGTTGAAGAAAAAGGGGAGAAAGTTGTGATGTCTTTGGAAGAGCCTCAATATGTGAGCAAAGTGCAATCATAAAAGCATGTGTCGTGCCGCGACGTTAAATCAGGCGCATCCTGGGAGGCAACCCATGGTTTTGTTGTAATTCGTCATGCCACGACGTTAAATCAGGCGCTTCTTGGGAGGTAACCCAATATTTTTTCTTTATTTTTATTTTTCACGGTGAAAGTTTTGACAGGTCTATTAATGTGCAGGGATGAAATTGTGCGCGACAGAAGGACTCAGGGTGAGGAAATCCATCCGGAGATAGGTACAAAATGGCTAAAAGNCGCGGCCGCGCACTGGCCGCGCACTAGGCGCCGGTTTTAGGTTATTTCATTAGTTAAATTTTTTCATTATTATTTTTTATTATTTCCTGACTAATAACCGACCCCCCCTATTCCTCCCCTAAAATCTGAATAACAACAAAACAAACCCTCCTCTCTCACAACAAACACACGCCCAAAACCCTCCCTTCTCCCCAATTTCAAAAGCAAAAACCTACCTCCCTTTCCTCCTCTTCCCTACTCAATCACTCCTCAATATCTATTCCTCACAAGCTTCTTCAGGTAAGTGCCATGGCTTCTATTTTCCTTTTCCTTCAATTTTTTTTTAGTTTTTCCAATTGTTTTCTTTTCTTCTTCTCTTTTTATTGTATGGTAGTAGAAGTCATTATTGTTATTTTCTTTGCTTTGTATTACTAAGTGTACTTGTTGGTATGTGAGGATAGTGGAATTTCATCTTGTTGGGTTGGATTAGACATTGTTAAGATTGTGGTGGAATTGAGGTATAATTGGGTGTTTGGGGAATTTGGGGTGAATTTGCACATCAAGTGTTTGTTTAAATGCCACAGTGAGTTTGTGAATGTAATTTGTGACCAATTGTGCGGGTGAAGTCTGAGTAACCGCTATTGGTTCACACATCTCGCCTTGTATTGATAGTGGTATTTGTTTTGTAGGTACTATGATACCCTCAAAGAAAAGACGAACCACATGTGCCTCTTCTAGTGTTTATACAAGCTCGTCCCGGGCACGGGCCTCGACCAATGCACCTCAGTTTGATAGCACAAGGTTTGCATCAAGCTCAGCCCAAGAATGTTTTTGTCAGAAGGCTCCTAAGAAGCCCATACCAGAACGGGGTGTTGATAGGGGGTCCCTCTAGATTGAGTGCCCCAATATGTATCAGGAGTTGGTTCGACGCAGGCTGGATATTTTCTTTGAAGAACCTGAGGAGGCCAACTTGATGGTTGTACGAGAGTTCTACACGAACTGCTCTGAACATGAGGACCATATTTGCACTGTGCGACAAAAGAGTGTTGATGCATCGATAGACGCCATTAGGAGGGCGTATCGACTGCCAGTATTTGGTGGGGAGGAGGACTATTATGATACGTATAGTCGGGAACTAACCTTCTGGAACTTGTTTTTCAGAACAATCTGTGTGTCAAACAAAGACATAGTGTGGGTTACACCGGGGCGAAAGTTTCACTCTACCTCACTCACATTTGAAGGGAAGTGTTGGCTTTATACCATCAATAACCGACTGCTGCCTTCCTCCAACACCACTGAGGTGAACGGTCCCAGAGTTGCATTGATCTGGTGCTTCATGAATGACCACGATTTTGATGTGGCTAAGGTTATTCACGATGAGATATTCATCCATTGTCCAGTACAGAGGTATGGGTTCTTCTTCCCTTCACTAGTCACTAGATTATGCCGGGCAGCACGGGTGCCGGAGAACAAGAACGTGGATGGAAGAGTGAAAAAAGAACCAAAGTTCCGGGCAGATAAAGTGACAATTGGGAAGGATCCTGTAGTACCTGGCAGAGCTAATAGTGATGAGTCTGATGCGCTAGAGGAGGGAGATGAAGGGCAGGCTG